AAAAAAATTTAAAAAAAAATAATAATAATAATAATTAATAACAACAACAACAATAATAATAATATTTAGTTTGCCTTGTAAAAGCCAACTTAAACCCTCCCTCATTGTTGTCAGAGTTCTTGAGGGGTGCCTGGGTAGCTCAGTTGGTTAAGCATCCAACTCTTGGTTTCGGCTCAGGTCATGATTCTAAAATCATTGAGATTGAGTCCCGTGATGGGCTCCATGTTCAGCAGGGAGTCTACTTGAGAATTCTCTCCCTCTTCCTGTGCCCCTCCCCCACTAAAATAAATAAATCTAAAAAAAAGAGAAAAGAAAAAAAAGAGTTCTTGAACCAGACTGACTAGCAACCCCAGGCTTCCAGGCAAGAATCTGGGCACAGAAGCAGCATATCTGGGAAAGGGCAGAAGTAGCAGCAGCAACATAAAGCCAGGTGTCTCCAGGGGCACTGGGGTGGCTTGGTCGGTTGGCCAACGGGCTCTTGATTTTGGCCCAGGTCATGATCTCAGGTTGTGGAATCAAGCCCAGTGTCAGGCTCTGTGCTCAGCAAGGAGTCTGCTTGAGATTTTCTCCCTCCCCATCTCCTTCTGCCCCTGCCTCCACTCATGCGCAGTCTCTCCCTATATATAAGAAATAAACAAATATTTAACAACAACAAAAAAAGCTAGGTGCCTCCTACCTCCTAACTTCCAGGTTGTAGGACTGTGGGACTATAGGGCAGGCTGTCCAACCCCTCAGTGTTCCATTTCTTGTCTCTAAAGAGGGCTAATATCACAGGATTATATGAGATGTTGCACATACATCTCCTTGAGCTCCTGGTACGGTGTTCCTTCCCTTCTTCTTTCTTCCTTCCCTTCTTCTTTCTTCCTTCCCTTCTTCTTTCATCCCTTTCCTCCTTCTAGCACAGTTTACTGACTTGTTCAAGCCACAAAATACTGAGATTCCAGGGGTTTGGGGAAACATGATAATAGAGTGATTTGTCTAACTCTACCTTAACAATTGTAAAATGT